AATTGCATCTGTGTCTGCTCTGTGCTTCTTTCCTTGATTCATCTAATGAAGTTCCAAGTGAAGCATGAATATTGCACGTGCAACATTCAGTAACAAAAATCACAGCAGAGATTTAGACACTAATTATATGATTGAAGAACATCGGGAGTGAGTTAGAAAACTGCACCTCAAGATATCGGCATCATCATCCATAAATGATTTCCGCACATGCTATGCCTAACTGGATATTCTCCAAAAGGCATTTTGTTGAGGCACAGACTGAAATATTTCAAGTCTTCCTTGCTCGACACGAAACTCACAGGACCTACATATTTTGACATTCTTCCTGCTCTTGCCCTGACTGTGGGTCTTCCTCTCTCTTCCCTTCAAATTAAATGATACATGATGTATTTCTTCTGGCACACTGCTTCTAGGCCATGTTTACCACTGTGGCTTAACACAGACAATATAGACAGTTCAGTTCCCACAGGGTTTGATTCCCCCACACCAGTATGCAGCTACCTCAAAGTTATCATCTAGCCAGAGCTCACCACTGCGCTCTTCTTGCTGCCAGTGGTGGGGAGACAGCATCGCCAGGTGCTGCTGTTCTGCACACACAGATGAATGACGTGGCGGAGGCACGTCCCTTCTCTGTCCATAGAAATGGAGAGTGAAGAGCTCATTCAGACAAGATGCTTAATTTGTACAGGGCTAAAAGGAGATGAGAGGAATCCCTGCTTTGCTTATCCACTTCCAGTTTGTGTGATGTATTCTTTCCCTGACCGCAAAGATCTTTTTCAGTTAAAAGCTGGGCCAAATGCATCTACTAACTACAGTTAGAAAGGAATCTGGATCAAAGCCATTTATAATGTCAACTGTTAATTAGGCTGGATTGCAAATAGGGGAAGCAGTATCTCCTCCCCTCTAGTAAACTTGAATTCAGAAGACTGGAAGACTCTATGACCTTTTCTTCGGGCAGCATTTTCGCAGTATTACCAGCGCAGCTTTTCAGCGACAACAGTCACAAACATTCACAGCAAAATCCAGAGCTTCACAATGCAAATATTGCTTCTGCTTTACTCATAAACAGAAAGCCAGTCACAGATACAGAGAGCACTGTTACAATTCACTCATTTCCCAAACAAATGCAGACTTCCTATTTAAAGAACTGCATATTTTTTAGGGCCCTCTATTAAAATTGCATGTTTGAAATTGAAGTCAAGTAGCCAAAGCTCAGAAATTACAGATTCCGAGTTCCTCCTCCAGCTTTTTTTTCCTTTGTGGGAAACTGTGCTATGCAATGAATTAAATCAGAATGTCATGTGAAAAAGCAGTGTATGACCAGATAACTAAAAATATGAATGTAAGACAGATGCACAGATCAGAGGAAATGAGATTTCATGTGGAATTTCAAACCTAGTGTTCATTAACAACTGCCACTTGACTTTGCAAACTACAAGGTGTTCTTCCAGTTCAGGTTTCACACATACTCTTCCCACTTCTGCAGAAAAAATCCTACTGCATGCAACTGTAACCCCACACGGACCACTTGCAAGACCTGAAACGGGGAAGAACCTGCTTAGTCGGCAGCTGCCGATGGTTCTTGGTGCTGCACTAGGGCAGCCTGGTCTAATTTCCTGCCCCAGCCCCTCTGTCTGCAGTTCATGACACTTTTGTCATAGCCCGTGTCAGGCAGACGGCATCTTATCTTGCTTGTCTCTGGTTCCCCTCTTGGCTCCTCTGTTCCTCCTACCCTGCCCTTAAACAGGCTTGCAATTTCTGTGGTTTCTCTGGTACTTATTCCGCATGGTGCAGTGGAGTTTACTCATACATGTCATGTCGAATGCTACACATTAGAGCTGTTCTTTCTTGGAGTATGTTGTGTTATTCAATCCTATACGGCTTTTGTGTTACAGGTCAAACAAGGTAATCCAAATATTCATACACTCCTAGTTTCTTTTCCTAACACATCTCCTGCACCTGAAACAACACTCTGAAAGCTGGAGAAACCTTCATGAACACATCATGTCCATGAGGATGCAAATACATTTTGTCCTGTTCCTGGAATAGCATCATTCACTGGGTACAGAGAGAAAAGCAGGGGGAGGCCATTTCTCCCCCTTTACATCATTTTCCCTTCTAGTACCGGGGAGTCTCCTCCCCCTTGCGGTACTCTAAGGATTAGAAGGAATAAGGAACTGGTTATCGTGCTGAAGACGAGATAATCCAGGTGAGATTCCCATTCCCATTTTTCCCATTCCCCTCCAGAAACGTGTCTGTTCCTTCCTGGTTGCTGCTGCTTTGTTAATTGTGTGGATCCAGGTCTTCTGAACTCCCAGGTAGAGCATGGCTTCGGTAGAATGCCAACCTCTTCCCGAGGGATGACAGAAAATGGTGAAGGGGATGCTCATGATCAAAAAAACTCAGCTGGCTGTAAATGGCAATTCATGAGACACACAAGGGGCTGCGGGGCTCAGGCCCTGTTGATTTTAACGACCTTCTGCAGACAGCTGACAGGTTGGATCTACTTACAAAGAGAGTCAACTACAGTACTAACTCCAGGTAGTGTTAGGCAATTGGCACGGAAAGGTTAATCTCCAGCCCCCATTTGGTTAAATAAACTGCAATTTTATAGAATATAGAGGTGCCTTGACAGGTGACACACTATAAGTTTTGAGCTTTGCTCTCAGATTCAAATATTAAATGGCACCCATCAGGTAATGGAAAACCCTGGCTCAGTGCCAAACTGCGTTTTCCCAAACCACTGTGCAACAAACTATCCACTTTCTTACTAGTCAACCTTCAGCTCATTAAGTCTACCTGTTAGGTCCAGATCTTTTTATTTAACTAGGATAAGGCTTGAGCATCTTCTCCTATTTTTCACCTGCATTTCCTAGATTTACTTTTTCTGAGCTGCCTGGGGATGGTGATGATGGAGAGGGACCCAGCAGTAAGTGACAACTGCAAGTGACAATTTAAGCATGAAAATGAGATTTTTTTCTTTCATTTGTTCCAAATTCTGCAACTAACTATTGTAACAGAAAAGGATGACTAGCAAAGATAATGTTACGAAATTATAACTGGACATAATGGAAACGTACATGGCCCTGCTTATTCAAAATCCTAACAAAAGTAAATACAATGTCAACATTTTCTAAAATTTGTCACTGTTTTAACACACACAAATCTCTCCTGTAAGTCACTTTTATTTCTAGATTTCCAGAAATGAATAAACCATTTTTTGACTTCACAAACTTTTCATAAAGAATCAGAACTGTGAGCTGCCTAAGAGGCACGTTTCAAAAATGAAAGGCTGACTAGAATGGTTTGAAAAAAAGAGCAGTTATCAGCAGGATTTATCAGCCTGTGAAGTCAGTGGTACTGTCACTAAGATTTGAAGCGCCACAGTATTTAATCATTCTTGAACAACAACATAAATCTGCATTTGTCTGCCCTGTGTATGAAAACAAGAGCAGCGAGTGCCAAATCTACACCCAGTTTTCCTCCCTATGGCTTCTATGAGGTACTTAACCTCAGTATCGGTCTCTAACATAGGAGCACCACTGCTTACCTTGAGGGTACAAGAGGAGAAGATAATACTTGCACACATGTCTTTGAAGCTGAAAAAAGCCACAGAGCCACACATATGTCATCATCTTCACAAACAAATTATGGGGCAGATAAACAAACGTTTTCTCTCCTTTACTTCTTCCAGTTGCTTTTTCTTACAATTCGGCTCTGTACTGAATAGGTACCTCATCAGGTACCACAATATCTAGAGCTTTCAGATATTTACTCTGTTTTCTACATAACGTTCCTTAAGATACAGGCATGTTATCTTCATCCCCACCACAGAGAAAGGGAACTGAGCAACAAGCATTCACAATAACCTGTTTTGAACCTACAGAAAGTCTGTCACAGAGTCAAGACTTGAGGCCACACACATTTTTTCCAAGCCTAAACTTCCCACACCTAAGTGCATTCAAAGGGCTGGCCTGTCTCCTAGTTCCTCATAATCAGCCTTGCTGAAAAGTTGCCTTGATCGTACATTCCCATGCATACTGCCCATTACATGCTCAGCCCTCCAGCTTGGGAAGCTGTTCTAGGATTTCAAAGCTCCAAGCATTTGCAATTGCAAAGTGGTATCTCTGAAAGGCTGCAAACCCAACACAGCAACAACCACAGCTAGCTGGTATGTGTAGTACAAAGAGAATTTAGAAGCTCTTTATAAAGCTTTGAGGTTTTACTTCCATTTTTCTTTCTATCTTACAACAATATACGAAAGCACAGAAGTGAGATACTACGAGCAACTGGTCTCCCAAATGCCAAAATACCCAGGAAGGCGATGCACCTTCTACTAGGAGTCGGCACTTCCTAAATAAAAGAAATATGAAGCCAGGAATCAGGTCTCCACTTGTTTCTCCCTTACAGTAACTGAAGCAGGGTGCTGCACCATTGCAAGACATAAGGTACTCCTTAGCTAGTAGCCTAGTGTCTGCACTTAAACACGTGTGAGGTCTTTTAAAGTGTTCCTTTTCTGTGATGGAGACCATCTCACCACTGGCATCTTCCATAATCCAACCCATAACATTTTCAGTGGACTATCTCATGATATTTCGTGCCTCTTCAAAGGTAAGTTTTTGGAGGTTGAACAATTTTAAGAGGAACTTCAGTCTTTAAGTTATGGAAGGAAAAAAAATACCTGAAAACATGACCAAGTGTAATCTAAAAGACCTGTGAACCAAGAAAATAACTCAATATGCTTTCTTTCTGTAAGTCTTACAATACTTCAGAACGTGACTCCTAATTTCTAAACACTTGAGTTTCACAGCGCTGTCATTCAATTACTGATACAAAGAAATATAGAGCCCTTAGACAAACAAACAGATATATATAAAGAAAGAGAGAGAAAAAGGTCCTTAAACTCTATGCCCTACTATAGAGTTGCGATAGGCTAAGGAAGCCAGACAATATGTATTTGTTTTTTCACTGTTTAAATCATCAGGGATGTAGATCCTTACCTCGAAATTCCAGCCCTCTGAGCTGAAAGGTGACAAGGCCATTTCCAATTTCGATCAAGTGCACAAAGGCATTTAAATAATCCGATGTCAGAATAAAACAGTCTCCTGTGTTGTAGTTTCCCCAGCGGCCCAGTATCAAATCTCCACAAAGAGACTCCTGCAGAGATCTTGTCAAATGCTCATAAAAAATGGAGTTGAGATTATTGTCATCATTTCCTACAACCAGAGCAGCATATTTGTGAAAAATAAAATTTAAAATAAACTAAGCCATTCTGAATAGAATCCTATGTTCTTTTTTATTCCCGCATAAAACCTCTTCCTCTAGCTGGATGGTATCTTCTTGAAGATACACTATATAAAATGCAATGCCTAGGCAGACTAGAAGTCTTCTACAGAATCAGACTTGAGAATTTTCTTTAATATGAACAATATTGTAAACAGAACACTAGATTGGTGAAAAAACGTATTTCAGATTGAACGACATCACCTCCTTCATGTTTTACAATAGCAAGTTTCTTTGGCTCTACTGAAAGACTCTGCTATCCTAAGTTAACATCTACTTCTTATTAATTGTAAGAAACCATAAATCATGAATAACTCAGTACATAAGCTTAGAATTGCATATTCTTCCTGATATTTTCACTAAGTAAAGGATTTGGTCACACAGCTTCACGTAGAGCTGTTCCTTTGACTCTTCCAGGAACGTTTCCAAATTTTTGACCATGAAGCGCCTGATGGGTACTTAAGACGAGGAGATACATTTTAAAAGAATGCACTTAGTGTATTGAGAAAGAACGAAACAAGGGCCATTCACCACTAGAATTGCTACCACTCTCTTTAAAAACTAGTTTCAGCTGTCCAGATACACACTGCTTGGACCAGTTGTCTGGGTGATACAATATCACATAACAGTATAAGAATTTCATAAAGGTCTATGGCATTTAATGGGATCAAAATTAGCACTTTATGATGATCAGTGAAAGAAAATAAATCCTTCACAAAATGTAAACACAGCACCACATAATCCAACAGGATGTTGGTGTGGTTGTACTATTTTATATAATTTATATGCTGAATGTGAGAATTATATTTATTTTCTATAACGCATCAGCGGTTTATTTTTAATACTTTTTAAATGTGGATGCACAAATAAATATACACCTACAAACTAACATTTTGGAGATGCGTATGTGTATGTGAGAGTGTATATGGCTACAGATATACAGGTACATATGCATATTTAGGTATGTGCATATTTGGGAGCCCACCTAATATGGAGAAAAAAAGAGAGGATGAAAGGCTAGAGCTTCCCCCACAAATCACTCCAGCATACAAGAAGATGGGTATACATTTTACCGTACAGCCCCTTATCACTGTGGCCATTACACATCCAGCCCTGGTATGTACATTTATGCAGGTGTATACAAACATACAGACACACTCAGCTATATACTTTCTGGGGTATGTTTAGCGAAAATTTAAATTAGTCATAAAAGCAAGCTTTTAAGCACACATGCACAAAAGGAATGCTTTGCTTGAGCAATGGATTTTAAAACATAATGAAATAACTATTAGCATACATAATAATGCTAAAGGTTATTGCTATTCCAATATATAATGGACTTGAGAAATGTCCTAACTCCCTGCCTTGAAACGATAAATAATGAAAGAGAATTATATATGCCTTGAACTGCTAATACCTCTCTTGTCATCTTGGACACCCTGGATTACACTCATTTCTGCTTAAAGATGTATATTTTTTTTGGGCTGCTGATGTAATGGCTATGCATAAAGGGAGGGATAAAAATGCATGTAACAACAGCAATTACAGTCTAAGCTTCTACCTCCACAGTACAAGTCCCTGACACCTCAGTGGTAAAGTAAAATCATCTTTAGAATATTAAAGAAATCCAGATTCCGGCTTCTCTCACTGGGACCAGGATTTGGCATGAAACTCTGATAACAAGTTTCTCCTGGAAAGGACTCTGTCCCGCCAGGTGCTGAACGGCATCAAGTGAGCTATCACATGCTCTCCATGTCCACTGACTTGTCAAAAAATGTGCTCATTTCGAGTCTCGCAGGAACTGCCTGCTGCAGTCCAGGAAGGTGTTTTAGATTGCCATGTGTTAGAGCTCATTTCATGGACCATTACCTGGAAGAGAAGCCCACTGGCTTTCCTTCTTCTTTCTTTTACCTCCTCCTGCAAATTTTCTATTCCCCTTCCCTCGCTTTCCCCCCTCTCCAGAAAGGTTTCTCCTCAGGGAAGAAGAGATACCTGTCAGTCCAAACTGCTTAGTTGTAGGGGCAGTATCACCTGCTTCTTTCTTCTCCCCTTATCAAGGCTGACCTTGGAGTTCAGCCAGGGCATATGCCGTGTACTCCACGCAAACAAAAATTTCATGATTAACCAAGAGATTCACAGCCCAGCAGCTATCTAATCAGTTCCACATAACTGAAGAGTGAATTTGCTTATCAAATCACACGACTTAAACAGGGGCTCTGTTGCATCTAAAATGCTCTGCTTCATTCATACAATTAAACATTTTGTTTCTCTAACTTTCCAGGCAAATCTTCAAAGGAGTAAATACATCACATTTTTCAAATCAAGCAAAACACCCAAATGCCAGGCCATACCTGCATCCTTTTCGATCTGAATTGCCAGTCTGGTGTTGGAATGGTCCGACCTTTTGGTGCTGGAAATAAAGACAGGTTGTACAGCCAATTCTTTTTTTTAAGTAAAGATTCCCCCAAATACATGTTTTTACTTTTAAACATATCTTCTCATTCTATGTTTGTATCATTATGCAGTTCATACTCCTAATCTGTTAATTGGTTTACTCCGAGCAGACACGTGTTATTATTGCAATTCATTATTGCTATTGCTAAAGTAGCTCTTTGGCACATGAAACAAAAGTGTCTTTTTAACCTCCTATTTTTCCTCAAACTCTTTCTTCCCCATTTTCCTTCTTGTGGGGCTATTCGCGTAAGAAGTAACTCAGAATGTAGCAGAGTCCATTTAGAAGTTGGCATCTGTGATAATACATAGCAATACAACATGCCCAAATATTTAAACTGGCTCCAGAAGCATGCCCACTAGGTACCACCCAGTACTGAATACAAAGAACATTAAATCAATCTTGCTTCCTTTCTAAGCCTTAAGGAAAATAGCTGGACTCAAGGAGTTTGTTTATTTGTGTGGGAATATTCCTGTGTACATGTAACATCCATGGAAAGAAAAAAAAAAAGAAGAAAAAAAGAATTTCTTATTTACCTAGGCAGCAATGAGGGAATCCCTGGTCATTCTTATCTCTTGAAAAAGAGTGAACCTCAGAGTCTTAGTCCACACACACGGTGAGTCTGTCTTCCTTACTAGTGACACTTTCACTACACAGTATTTTCATAGTCCCAGTAGAATATAACAACCATAGGAAAAAAAAAAAAGGCAACTGCAAGGTAGACTGAGCCTTTATGCCTACCTATAACAAAAGGCACTTCAAAGTCTGTGGATAATGAATGAGCTACTCATTGTGGGCATCCACCCGAAGGAAGTTGTCCTTGCAGTGACTAAGCATATTCAATGCCAGAAGTCCAAAGCATCTCCCAAGCCTTCAGGGTATCAGTGTAAGCCTAGGATGCTACAGAAAATGTACTTTATTCCCTAAAAATACTGCTCTGAGAGTGGTACTTAGGACTTTGTGACTTCACTAAGACTATTGCCTTGAAAGTTTTGCCCTCTATTGCTAACCTTAGCAGGACTCCTGTCAATCGGATAGATAGGCAAATACTACCATTCCTTGGAAAACGAGGTTAAAACAGAATGTGGGGAAAGACAAAGCTATTTAGCCCACGCCGCGATCGGCATAAGATTACACGTGGCAGAGGTGTGACATTCATCTGTTCACCAGCCTGTTTATGCTGGGGAAAAGGGCCATGAACGCCCCTCCCTGGGCACAGGAACTAAGGAAGGCACCTGGGATTGTCCCAAGAGTCGCTTATCAAACCCTGGTGAAGGAGGTACGGCCACACGGCTGGCAACAGAGAAGTTTGAGTGCAGCACAGAGCGCAGCGGAGATTTTGAATAGTGCAGCGTTCGGATGCTCAGCGTGGAAGGCTAGAATTTAACCACTCACTACGAACATTTAGATATGCCCCAAGGAGGACAGAGGCAGGGAGGGTGCAAGTTATACGAGGGGCTTTCAGATAGGTTAAACAACACTGAATGAGGATGGTGCAAACCCACAGTCTTTGAAGCACAGCAGAAAATCTTCCTCTGGGATTTTGTGTTTCTGGAGCTTTCCTCAGATCAGAATAGGTTCCCAGCATTTCTTGCCTCAATATACAAACTATTTAAAGGGTTGGAGGTTTCTGAGCTGAAGTTAAAGGCTAACACTGATGCTGCTCAGGGAGAAGAATGCCATTGATATTCCTAATGTCAGAAGGTCTTTTCAACCAGCTTCTAGCTACAGCTCCCCCCAAAAACCTGTGGAAAACTGACCAACAAAAAAATTATACAGCATCTTCCATGTAGTTGACAGAAGAACAAAACTGCTTTGCCTCTACTCCCTACAGGCTACTGATTTTCACTTACAAAGAACAGGCTTTCACTCTGCAAGAAATACAGTTGGAGAGAGTATGATTCTTAATTAGAATTATTTATAATTAATATTAGCACATTATCTACATATATTAACATTAAATTTGACGCATTATTTATCTTCCCCATTTCTGGTTGGCTCAGCTTATTGTAACTGCAAGTTTCAGTTCCTATGCAACAGAAAATGGTTACATGCAGGGGGGCTTTCTAGGCAATTCTGAATATAAAGAATGATTTAACTGCAAAAAGATTGCGGGAATTATTCTATCCTAATATACACGCACCTTCAATTACAACATACGCAATGGTGAGCATAAAGATTAGGTTACGGAATTCAATCAATTTTCTATTCTCAGCAGAGAAACGTTGCTGATTTCAAAATGGATATGTTTTAAGATTATCAGATTTCTTATTAACTTTCAGCCCCTCTGAAATCAGTGTGCCAGTATGAGGTCCAAGTCAATACTGTTTTTTACCCCATTTTTACCCCATTTTTCATTTTTTACTATTTTTTAACAACCCATAAAGCATTTTTGTTTTTGAGGCATATCAAGATAGATAAAAATTAAGCAATATTTCAGAAAATTCTCATCTATATAAGTGGGAATCCTTTTTCCTAGCATGCAGCTCTGGCTTCATTCCTTCCCCTTCCCCCTCCCCCCTTTTTTGGGGGGGAGAGAGAGAGATGCATGAAACAATTATGGAAAATCAGAAGTGCTTCAGGACATGGATAACGCAACCTGAATGGGAAGAAGGGAAGGAAACAGAACAGCTCTCAGACAAAATGAAATCAGCCTCTGCTGTGGCATTATCCTCCATTCCAAGCACAATATCGATTTCTTAAGCAGGGAAAACACGGGCCCCAGGACATGAGATGATAAGAAAAGATTTGCTTTTTCAGATAGTACCAGAAAAAATCAAAAGCTTTATCCAGATAATTTGAATGGTAATTTTAATTCTTTATGAAGACCTGGGCTAATACATACAGTTTGTAAAACAAAATAAGAGTGAACTAGTTTTGTCCTGAAATTCAGTTTAGTTGAACTACTTCAAGCAGTTAATCCATTTTGGTCTTTAAAATTTTCCATAACTATTAGCAACTAAAGGTACGTTTACACCTTCTTAAAGGTGACAAAAATTTGCATCGCATTAAACGATAATACACTGTGCCTAACAGCCAAACTAGGCATTTACTCCTGGGCTTTCTGCTGTCAACTAGGATCTCCTAAAGTGAACTTTTGGGACTAGTGGGCAATTTGGACTTCCCCCCAGTGGCTTCTTGCTTTAAATTTGGTCATTACCACTCATCCAAGGTGATAATTAGCTCAATAATTGGATTTCTTCCTGAACTGCATTACTGTACGCAAACTGAGTGCAGGTCCTCGGGCACTTGCCCTGGAGAGCAAGTGATTGTGTTTGAATGTCTTCAGCTAAGTCTAAGCAATTTTAAAGTCAACATCCTGCTTAGTTCCTGAAATATCCAACCCCTGCTCTTTTAATCCAGCAGTTATACGGGCATTGAGATAATCCACTGGCTTGTATGACACTGTTCATGCCATTATAATTATTGCTTCCCTTTGTAAAAAGATGGGGTCACTTCCCATATTCTCCTCGTGCAAAAATACTGCCTCATTTGTCAACCTGGAAAGACTTTCTCTTCCCACCATACTCCCCACTTTCCCTGCAAGTAACAATTAAGAAGGCAGAACAAAGGCTGAGGGGGGCTCGGGCAGTGGGGGAAACATACAGGGGGTGGTGAGAATCAGACAAATGGAGGAAAAAATAGATCATTGTCGTGCTTAATCCCAGAAGCTGAAAATGAAATTGCAGCTGTTTTTTTTCTGCCTTGCTGTTGCTGGATTTTTCCTCAAAACACAATTTCAAGATTTCTAGGATTCCTGCT